ATACCTAAGTCTACTTGCCTCTCGATGTCCTCTACCCTTTGACACAAGGATTGTTTTGCTTGGTCATAGTCCAATTTGAGAATTGAGGCTGACGAGAAGCCTAGCTTGGCAAGGTTGGACTCGACTGCCTTGATCCATGAAGAGGAGAATTTACCTTGAAGAATTAATGGAGCGGGCTTCCGGTTCTGGATCGTGACGCTGGCGGACGCGCGGGCCATCGCTCCCTCCTCCGTCCGGTTTTCTCCCACTGGGGAGAAAGTCACCTTGGAGGGGCGATGAGCGTGAAGAGAACCTCCTGTTTGATCGCGGAAGGGCAGTAGCCCTTCCGTTTGATCCGGGGCAGCTCTTTGGACCAACTGGGAAAAGATTGGCCATTCACATGGCCCATCATTAAGCTGCTACCTGCCAAGGCCAAATTTACAACCAAGCACTTCAAAAGCACAGTGGAGGAACTTGGTGAGACTTTACCTTCTTGTATCCCAAGTACTTTCCTGCCTGGAGGCCGTACGGGTCTGGATGGGGAGGAACAGACTCAGGCTCAACCCTTCTAAGACCGAATGGCTGTGGTTGCCGGCGCCTCGGCATAGTCAGCTGACTCCATCGCTGACTATAGGGGGCGAAATTTTGGCCCCCTCAGAGAGGGCGCGCAACTTGGGAGTCCTCCTGGATCCACGGCTGACATTGGATGACCATTTGTCGGCCGTGACCAGGGGGGCGTTTTATCAGGTTTGCCTGATTCACCAGTTGCGACCTTTTCTGGACCGGGACGCCTTACGCACAGTCACTCATGCTCTCGTCACCTCCCGCCTGGACTATTGTAACGCTCTCTACATGGGGCTCCCTTTGAGGAGCACCCGGAGGCTTCAACTGGTCCAGAATGCGGCCGCGCGGGCGGTGTTGGGAGGGACTCGTCGCTCCCATGTAACACCGCTGCTGCGCGAGCTGCACTGGTTGCCAGTGGCCTTCCGGGTGCNCCTAGGGAGGATTTTAAATTGGGTTTATTTTAGCAGTAATTTTTAAATAGCACAACTTTAAATATTCGGTTTTAATTGGTTTTACTTCGGTGGGGTAGCAAATGTATTTATGTTTTTTAATATGTTGTGAGCCGCCCTGAGTCCCGTTGGGAGAAGGGCGGGATATAAATCAAATAAAATAAATAAATAAATAAATAAAAGCCTTCTGAAACTTCTTCCCCCTGCGAGGAGATAGGGAAGGGAATGTTTTCTTCCTACCCTCTAAGATGACGGCACCTGACTACGTAAGGAAAATAAAGCCCTGAAAAATACAATTAAGTAACTGGATTTATATTACCTTGATATCTGGGGACCCAAAAATTCCTACTCCCATGTGGACCTGTCACCTTATCTATGAAAAAGAACTTTATCTGGATAAAAACCTAGCCCTGGTTTTGAAAAAAAAATTAAATGCTGTCAGGGACATCTTGTGGCAAAGCCTGGTATAGCAAGTAAATATTTTTGCTAAAGAGACCTGCTTACAGCCCAGATTTGTCCTTGGTATTATCTAAAAGAGATAAAAAGCTGGGAGAACAGCTGGACAATGAAATTGGTTTTTAGGAATTGTGGAGGTGAACATTTACTGACTTTCATCTAAGAAATAGCCTTCACTAAAGGACTATCTATAACTGTGTTAGAAATGGAGGAAGACCAGCAACAAATTAACTATAAACTTATACTTGAAAAAATTCTTGAAGCTACTGAGATAATTAAATCCAGACTGAAAGACACAGGCGCCAGCTTAAACCTACAAAATGACACTCTGATTTCAATGAAAGAACCTATAATCCAAAAACCAATAGAAGCGGAAGAAATTAATACCAAGACAGAGGACTTTAAAGATCAACAAATACAATCTACTGAAAATTTTGACAGACAAACCCTGACCGCAACTAAAGAACCTACAATATATCAAAAAGCAACAGAAGTGGAACAAAGCAACACCAACAGGGAGGCTGTTAAAGACCAACAAATACAGCATACTGAAAACCTAGATAATCAAATAACAACCATAAAACTGGACGTGACTCTCTACCTAAACCAGAAGAAACCTGATAAACAAGAAGACCAAACCGAATTGAAGGAGCCACTAGGACAACAATCCAATGACTATGAATGGGCCAGCCTTTCTGGAAAACTGATAACTAGATGATTGGTTTAAGTAATATCTACAAGAATGAGGGGAGATTTATCTGATGATTTAAAGGCATTGGTATGGAAGCCTGGTTGGCACAAAAAGAAAGCCAGAGTTAGATTTTTAAAAAATGGGATCTTTTGATTCATGATAGAGGATCCTAAAGTCTCAATTAATGGGCTAAAGGGAGATTTTTAGATGAAGGGAAATATGATTATTGGATTCAAATATTGTTGTTAAATGATAAAAAATAAGGGATTAACTGGCTTAATATTCAGGATTTAGACTTATAAGGGAAATGAAAACTAACGATTAGGAATTAGCTTCGAACTATTGTTTAGCCCAGATAATATAGATGATGGACTTGAGACAATAAAGGACACTCTATTAGTAAGTGATGATGTATTAGGATGAGAAATATAAAATGTTTATGAAATAAGGTAAGAATATATTTAAGTAAATAATATGTATATTCTAGATATGATAACTTTTATGTAGTGAAATAAAGGAAATTTGGATTACCCGAAACTCAAACACTATGGATATTAAAGGTTAAATTGGAATATTGTAATTAAAAATTAAAAATTAGGTAAAACTCAAAACAGGACATGGATATGTATAAGCAAAAAATATATTGATAAATGTTTTAACCAAGTTTGTTATAATTAGAAATCTACTAGCCTAAATGTGATATAGCAAATGTTAAGGGAAATAGAGAAGGAATTTCTGATGCTGTAACCTGAGATATGTACCAAAGCCAGATGTTTAAGGAAGCTATACAGATTCTTGCTTCAACTTTTATCAATCCTGTCTCCAGGCGCAGAAGTGCATTTGGGACACAGTGTGGCATCTGGAGAAGTGTTCTGATAAATTTGGATTGAACTCTTTCAAATGGTGTAAAACATGAAGCTGAGGGTCTGAGCAAAGTCCCATAGAGAAGCTATGCTAGCGACCTGGCCAGAAAGAGCTTAATTGCAGCTGGAACATAGTGTCCCTTTGTGTGGAAAAATTTAAGAATGGCATTCGCTGATCGTTGGCCAGAGACAGCCACGTATTCTCCATGGGTTTTTTGTGAGCCAGTGGCATGGATGACCACCCCTAGGTACTTAAAGGTGGTTACATGCTCTATTTTGTGGCTATTTAAATACCATGAGTACCATTTTGGCCTTTTTGCAAAAGCCATAATCTTTGTTTTCTCATAATTTATGTCCAGTTTATTATATTTGCAATACTGGACAAGGGCTCGTAAGGCTTTTTTTAAGGCCAACTGGTGTCCTGGAGAGGATCACAGCGTCATCTGCATAGAGCAGCAAAGCAATGCTTCAGTCACCTATTTTTGGGGGTGGTAATTTGGTTTATTTAACTATTTTACCATATCATCCATGTAAAAATTGAAGAGCAAGAGGGCCACAATACACCCCTGTTTAACCCCCTTTTGAGTTTCAACTGACCTCGAGAGAGACCCTTGCATATTACATCTCACCTTGAGGGATGTTTTGGTATGTAAGTCTATGATCAATTGAGGCAACTTCCAGCTTCTCCCATAGCTTAGTCCTTGTAACCGTTTCAAAAGCTGCCTTAAGATCTATAAAGGCAGTGTATAATGATTTGAGATTTGTGTGGCATGCCTATCTGTGATATGACAAAGTAAAAGTTAAAAGTAAAAATAACAGATGGTTAACAGAGGAATTTTAAGATTAGTGTAATGTTTAGCTCAACCTCTTGACTGCTTTTTCTTGTATGTATGTACTGTGTGTATGCATGTATGTATGTAAAAGGGAAGGAGAATTTACTGCTTTTTCTTTTCTTTCAGCACCCAACTGGGTTGATCCTACATGTTAAATGTTAAATTTAATTGATCACTTTTTCCTCTTTTTTGTACAGTTTTTTTTTCTTTTTTGTTGTTGTTAGGGTTGAATATATACTTTTGTTTTATTTTATTTTGCTTGTTTATTTTACTGTTTTGTATTTTATCTTTTATGATAAAATAATAAGTAATATTTTTAAAAAATGATAAAGCAGTTGGAGGCCAAATTGTATGATGAACAGTTGAGGGAGTTAGGTATGTCTAGTCTATGAAAGAGTAGGATTAGAAGGGACATGATAGCTGTCTTCTAGTACTTGAGGGCCTGTCACAGAAATAAAGAGGAAGTTGACGTATTCTCCAAAACATCAGAGAATGGGTAATGTGTAGAAGATTGTTAAAAAGAAATCCAACCTAGAAATAAGGAGAAATTTTCTGATAGTGACAGCAATTAATCAATGGAACAATTTGCTTCCAGAGTTGTGGGTGCTCCATCACTGGAGATTTTCAAAAACAGGGCAACCATTTGAGTGGGATGGTGTAAGGCTCCTGCCTTGAACAAAGGGTTGATCATTCTAGAAGACCCCCAAGGTACCTTCTAGCACTGTTGTTCTATGTTCCTGTTCTGACCTGTGAGATTCCTGAGAACTATGGGGAAAGGGGGGCATCTTCCCACTCACTCAAACCAGGTAGCCGCAGCGTCACTCCATATTCTTGGTGGAATGTTCTACTCTGAAACCTTGAAACCAGATAAAGGATTGGTGAAGGAGGAAATTCCCTGAAGGATCTAGCAGGATCCATATGTTAGGAAAGACTATCATGCTAATACCTGCCATAATGGAATTCCACATTACATCTCATTTCATGCCATCATTACTTTGAAAATTTAAAGATGGATAGTAATTAAGAAAAATGTACCTCATCTGAGGGCTCCCTTTCCATGGGCTCACACTTCGGCATTTAGAAAACTAGAACAAATATTTGTTAAAATAATTAAGGAATAAAAGGAATAGATTCATCTTTATAATGCCTATCAACAATTACTTACAGTTTGATTGGGCTTCTGGAGGAAATTGGATTCGAATGATGGCCATTAGAATGAATGAAAATACAGGCAAAGAAATTAATATGAAAGACCAAAGCTGTAAAAAAAGAACAAATTATATTCAAGTTTGATATATTTGAAAAAAATTAACACTATTAATCATACAAGACGAACATCTCCTTAACAAGAGTTATAAAGTAATAAAGGCAGGAAACAATTAACAAATAAAGTCAATTTTCATTTTAACACAAAGAACAAGCTTTGCTATAGAAGGTCTCAACTTTTGCTAACTAGGAAAGATTAGTGCTGAAAACTCTGCCAAAGGAGGCAGATTCATCCCGTAAGTTATTATGAGGCAATGATCTTATGACATGGTTAGAGAAGCAAGGTTGGACAATTACTTCCTTATTTGCCTCCTTGGAAAAGGTTTCTTTTTAATGGCTTATACATGCTTTAAGAACATTGGAGGCTTTTGTTCTTTTTGTTAATTAGAAGTATCTGGAAATCAGTGACATTATTGGGTGATTTGTTGCAGGATTTCAAGGGTATGGACTTAGGTAGTTCTTTAGGGCAAGAAGCCTGTGTGAAGAGTCATCTTTAAAAAAAAAAAAAAAAAAGTAAATACTCTGTAGTCCTGCTATACAACATGGATATGCTTTTAATTTAATTTACTGTACACCACTGTATTACAATTCTCCAACTAGTGCTGACATTTGATCATTTGAGTATCCTGCTTCCTATCCTCCAAAAAGAAGTAATATATAATGTTTACATTTTTGTTAAAAGTCCTTAGTTAAAGAACTTTTGCATGCAGTGAGCCAGTTGCCTTTGAGATTAACCTAGGTGAGATGGGTGGCATACAACTCAAATAAATAAAAATAAATAAATATGTCTCTGACCATACTGATTGGGATTTCTTGGAGTTCCTCGTACTGCCTTTTGAGGCTTACACAGAATTGCCATTATCAAATTTACAATCAATTCCTTTTTTGCTTCATTTATATCTTGTTTTTCCACCAGTAACAGTAAGGCAATCCTCGGTAACATATCTAAATTTAGCTTAAAAAGTTCTCTAATTTCCCTAAACACCACGTCCCATATCTTTTGTGCACTGTCACAATCCCACCACATATGTTTATATGTTCCAATCTCTTTCTCGCACCTCCAGCAAATATTTGTATATTTAACATCTATTTGATTTAATTTACTTGGTGTTAGGTACCATCTTCATATCACCATTTTCCTTAACTCTAACTGACATATTCTTATATACTCTTCTGTTCCAAATATTTTTCCAATCTTTATCGTTTATTTCTTTTAAATCTGTTTCCCAGATTAATTTTAAATCTTTTCCCATTCTTCCTTTACCTATATATTCTTTATTTTCCTCACTTTCCTTTATAATCATTTCAAATTTTGTTAACTGTCTATCTTTTACCTCGAATTTTTCTTCCATTTTTCTCAATTTCTCTAATTGTATTAAATTCAACCAATTTAATTTAATATCTGATAAAACATTCTTTAATTGTATTATATTCTTTATCTTCTTCTTCCAGTCTTCCCATTTATATATCTGATTTTTTTTTTATTTACTAATCCAATCTTTCAATTCAATCTTAGGGAATTTCTCCATTTCTACCACTGGTGTTAAAGGAGAAATTCCTGGCATTAACCGATATCTCCATTTATTCCATAATTCCATCAAATTTTTTAAAAAGATATTTTGAATTCTCTTAACAATTTTTTAATATCCTTTTTAAACCAATATGTTTCTATAGGATCGCCTATTTCCCTTAATTCCTTCGATTCTATATCGCTCCATAATAAATCTCTATGTACTGCTATAATATCTGGGACCACCCTTAATTGATTAGCTACCCAATAATTTCTAACATTTGGAAGACCTAGCCCACCCTTTTTTAATGGTTCATACCATAATGCTTTACTTATTCTTGCTATCTTACCTCCATTACAGTACACCTCCAGCAATCTCTGTATTTCATTTAATTCTTGATCCGAAAACTTAATTGGGATCATCCAAAACAAAACATTAATTTTTGCTAAAACTTTCATTTTTATTGCTGCAATTCTTCTGAACCATGATAATTTTACTTTTCCATATTTATCCATTTTATCTTTTATATTTAAGGGGGAAGTCTTACCACATTGAAACATTAATTAAGTTATGTTAAATTGAATAAGACTGTTGTAAGAAGCATTATTTGGAATACGTTTTTACATACTAAAAGATACGAAACTATAGAAGAGGGCAAAAAAGGCACAAGAATATCTTCCTTCTATTGAAGAATCAGACCTTTTGTCAGGATCTCCATTGTCAGCCTGGCGCCTTGCTGGCGTCCTGCCATCAAAGGGGAAGGGAAGAGGGAGGCATTTGGGGCAATCCACAGCTGTGTATCTAATGGTGGGAAATGGGGAGGGGGAGATGACATGTGAAAAAAATCAGAGTTGTTTGTACTGGTTACACCAGGCATCTTCAAGATCACTTGCCATGGATGTGAAATTCCAGCAGCCTAAACAACCCAGAGTTTCCCACATCATTGTGGCAATCCCAGATTGGCTGGCAACAGACCAGACATTGGGAGGAGGGATGGGGAACATTGGATTTGGCTCTTTGTATTGGTGAGCGGGAACTTCAGATTCCACCTCACCTTCTTGCAACCAATAACTTTAGTAAAAGTTCTTTTCACTTCAATTAGTTGGAGTCAGGAGTCTGTTTTCATAAATGATTGTTTTGGGGCAGGTCTGACACCATTCTTTCTTTTTACTAAACAACAAACTAGACAAAGAATTTATGAATTTAAAAAATCCAATTGAAATACTTAAGTATAAATCAAAGTATAATTTATCAATATATAAAACAAAACTCTACAACTATGAAATAGGATGATTCTAAGAAGGTAATACATATTTTTATTCCATTATCTGACATAATTTATCTCTATTTATATTAACTAATATTAAAACTATGGTTATACATAGAAACAAAATCTTCTATACAGAACAGAAACTAACCTCCAAGAAGGGTTTTAAATGACTGGTTTTACCATTGAATTGATATTAAAGTATTTACATTAATATTGACTAATAGATTAAACTGATTGGTAGCTACATTATTTTGGAACAATATGAATTAATCAATGGCAACCTAGATTCATTGGAACAAATAAGAAAAAATAGTTTTATTCCCCCATAATGTTGGATATGTTCAACACTTGAATTATTTCTAAAAATAATAAAGGCAGAATACAAATAAATAAATAAAATAATGACAAGGTACCAGATATTATTTCTCCTCAAGATATTGTAAAAATATAAATTAGGAAAAAAATCCTGTATGTGATCCAGAAGCAATACTTTAAACAAAAGCATATGTAAATCTCATTCATAGCCTCTAATATATATAAAGAGCAACAAAACAAGGTTGCCCACCCTCTTACTTAATCTATATAATGTCACTGAAGCCCTTCTATGAAAACTACAGAATAATTCAAATATTGGAGAAATATTTACTCCATAATTTTTTTAAAAAATAATTGCAAGTATGTTTGATGATGACACTGTTTTGATGACACTGCCTGAGCCAAACAAGGATTTGCTTTGGATTACTGAGTACATATTAAAATATGGTTAAGTGGTTGGATTTTAAATAATTTTTTAAAAGACCAATGTTCTGTTCATTAGCATTGGCCCCAAATTATAGAAAACAGAAAAAATAAATATTCTAATTAGTCATAAACACATAAACACTTTGGGATTTTAATTAGATTAGTTCTAAATTGCAAACAAAATCTATTAGTACAAAACATGAAACTCTATCTATAAATTAAAGTTAAATTTAAGCATGGAACACATTAAATCTATTTATTTTGGGAACATTGCATCTTATAAATTATTATACTTTTTAAAATATTATTAATTTTCCAAATGTTGCCATTCTCCTCAACTAGGAGTGATCAGCATCATGGCAAAACATATTTATAAATTTGAATTCAAAAGGAAATTTATAAATTTGCATTCAATAGAAAAATAGAAAAATCCATAAAAAGTTGAAAAATAAATAGGGTTTTCCTAAAACAAAGTTATAATTTCAAAACTCTCTATTGTAATGAAAGGCACAATGTTTTAAGTTTAGTAGTTGAGACATCCAATATACTGTATATAGTCAAGATCTATATATAATATTGGGGACTTCCGGTGGCGACGGACGACGGACGATGGAGGCTTTTTGCTAGCCTCCCGTCCGGGACTGCATTAAAGCCGCCGAAACAGCACATATCAGCTGTTTGGCGGCTTGAGCTTTCTCTCTGGGAGAAGGAGAGAGGGCGAGTTTTCTTTGAGTAGGAGTAGAGTTCCCTAGTCCCCCCAGGAGTCTTCCAGGGGGGATGAAGGTGAGAACTCCTCCGGAGCTCAGAGCTTCTCTGCAGCTCGGGATGTCTTCGCTTTTTAGCGAAGCCAGATGTCGTCTCCACCTCTGATATTTATTGAGATTTCAAATTGTGAGTAAACTTATCAACAGACAGAACTGGCCAGGAGAATTGGACTTTGATTGAAATAAGACTTTAACTCAGAAGATTTAAAGGCACCCTCTTCAGTTGTTATAATTAACTTGAGAAGAAAATGGCTGCGGGTGAGCCGTTTCTTTGTTTCAAAGGAAAACTTTCATTCTTCTTCCGGTTGTGGATTGATACACTGTAAAGACTCTTTTAAATTCAAGGAAAGTTTGGTTAAACATCTGCTGTTTTTTGCTCTGAATTATACATGATTATATTTAAAGAGCTTCTACAATGGCTTCTAAACGTATTGGAACTTCTGCAGTATCCAAAACAGCTATTTCTTCCCCAGTTGTGCAAATCTCACAACAGAAACCTAAATCTCCACCACCTTCGCTCCCCCCTCTATTACTCTTAAAGAATTACAGGAAGCTTTGGCACAAGCTTCTAAGCAGACAGTACAACAAATGAGATTGGAAACAGAACAGCTTCTTAGTAAGAAAAATGATGAATTGTGTGAGAACATGTCACAAATTTTTCAAGGCTTTGCAGCTCATGTAGATTGTATAGAGGGACGGGTGGATGA